CACATTTATCAGCCGCGACGCTTTTGACCGACTGCCATAGATCGTTCACGCTATTACCTCGGCGTTCAAGTTGTTTTCTGTGATTCTTCTGAAACTCAGTCTTAACCCTGATAATTTGTTCCAGAATTGAGCTTTATAGATCGAGATAAGTTTTTCCGTAATAACGTACGTAAAATTTATTAAGTCGAAAAATAGTTTAAAAAAGTTTTAACCACAACTTAAATAAGATATAGCCCCGATGTTTTGAGATATTTCTGACTGGGAGATTTCAGGTCCGCTGGTAAAGTAACGTTTCAGATTCCGATACCGGATTTACACGCGAAAGCGTTCTCGGAAATTTTTCCTTTACTTTACACCGATGCTGCGATACGGATAGTGGCAATTTTGTTTTTGTTTGAACGTGCCTTCTCAAGCCCAACTCATGGACGCGATCATCGTCCTATGTATTGCCATCGTGGCCTGTTTAAATGGCCCCCGTATTCGACTCGATGAAGAAACGGTGTAAAGACTTCTATCCATCTTACACCGCCGTAGTGTCGGTGCAAAGTAATGGTTTAATTTCTTTTCTTTGCGCGGTACGTTTTAGCCCGTGTAAATCCGGTGTCAGTGTCTGAAAAGTTTTTTTTGACGTCTGTTCCTTTGTCAAGGAAATTCTGTAGTAAGTAATCTTATACTTTTGAGCTTAATTGCGGTTTGAAACTAGTTGTTCATCGCCATCGGCTCGATAAAACATTTCAGAATTTCATTATACTGAATTACCTAGTCTCCTTTCAGTAATTTACAAAATATCTGTGTATTTAAAAATGAAAATGACATCAAATTCAAAACTTCAGAATATTCATTTCGGTATATTCGGCTTCCACGGTGAGTTTATCCCATCGGTCGTTGAAAATGGCAATTTTAGACAGTGTTTCTAACGCTCACGTTCCTACGCCGGCCTTTGAATATCTTCGTCGCCCAGCTTTCAGAAAGCGTTGAAGCAGGCTCTGATCGGCTCCTTTTCGTAGTCTGCCTCAGTTCCCCCAGTAGTTTGTATGTCCCTTTGCAACTGGTTCGATGGAGCTAATATCATGACGGCCAGTTGACGGACTTACCGTGGTTTTCAACCGTCCTCCTTTCTTATTCAGGCTTGGGAACAGCAACGGTTAAGTTGAAAAATTTCCACATTTCTTAATAAACTAATTATTGTTCTTGTTGTTATGGTTTTAAACCGAACGATAATTTGATCAACCAGAACAAAGGTTCTCTGTCCAACGTCTGCGTAAGGGTTAGTCATCATTCAGTGCCCACCAAAGCGTGTACGTGTTTTTTCATACTGAATGTTGTTTAAAAATAAGACGACTGTTGTCGTTCAACGAAGCGTTAGTAACGGTATCGTGGTTCTTTTCGATCGCATTATCGGAGTGTCTAAAAGCGTATAGTCAAGGAACATCAATTTATTAAGTACCTGACAGAATTTCTTGCATTGTACACTGATCCTGCGGTAGTGTAAAACAGATGAAAGTTATTACAATGGGTTAGGTCTCAACATTGCGCTGACTCCTTGCATCCACAGCCCTAAAGGGATCATTTTAGCCGGTCATGTCTCTATGACCTCTTCGCCGTTATAAGCGCCGATACCTCTGCTTTTCCTCCGTAATAACCTTTATTCGTGCCACGTTCAATTGAGGCTGAAACCTCTCGTCCGAAATAAGAGGAGCCTTATCGCGTGGGTAATTTGCCACTGTCATTAACGGAACTAAACCGTTGTGGATCCTACTTCGGACTGGGCAATCGTCGCTCATTCGCCGCTCGGTGTTATTCTCTGTAAACTAGGAATTTGCATATATTTCAGTGCAGTATGTGCAAGTTTTGGTTTAACACATGTTATGTTCTCCGCGAAACGCTTCGCTTAAAGTCTCCGCACTGTTTACCGTAAACGGTACTCAGATCACTGTTTACAGAAACAGCAGACATTATGAAAAATGTAACGTGGTACTTGAATTGCAAATCTGCCAAAAGTGGGAGAAACCTTACAGTGTAGGTGTGATTCAAATCCATGAATCAATGTAACTGTATACGGTAGTTTCGCTTTCGAATAGTTTTTTATTACTTACTATTTATAGTGGTTTCACGTAAGCGCGTATGCCACAACCGCCGTTGGTTTTGATTTAATAAAATGTTAAAGTATGACTCAACTTCACACATACATGGGTTCGGCATTCATCGTGTATGTATTAGTTGCGTTTATCACACTAATATGTGATGCTGGTAGATACAAATATGATTGAATGTGATTGTACATGCATTATATTTCATGTTTTAACGTAACTACACAAATTTTAAAATTTTCGAAGCATAATGTCTGTTTCTGGCATGTTGTGCAATTTTGTTTACAGTCAGCCTCAAGTGAAGTATTCAGTACATCAGAACAAGGAAAACAGAACCAAGGAAAGCAGTCTGGCAAAAAATGCAAAAAGTAGAGGCTTCGTCCTCCTTTCTGGAGGCATTCGCAACACACCCAAACCATGGGATAACTTTTCAGTCTGAAGATGCAGCGCTGTACGCCGAGGCTCCCTTGAATATTTCTGTTTCGGACCTAGCAACTCGTCTCAGAAAGCCCATTCAGGCCGCTTGTACCCAGATTCGAAATTTTTCACTCATTTTCAACAATTCACGACCGCACGTAAGCATGTGGATAAAGATTGACTTGAACACCGAGTGCTTAGTTTTCGTACTCAGCTCTGCTTTAGTCACAACGGGTCGGGCTAGTTCACGCAGAACGCCACTGAATACTCCAATTCGCTGGTCGATCTCTTCCTCCAATTTTCCATTACCAGTAAATACAGTTCCGGAGGTACTTGAACTTTTCCACCTGCTCCACTGCCTCTCCGTTAATCTGAAGAGAGCAACGGGCAGGAGAACGAGGAAGCACTAAGCTTTTCGTTTTAGATGCGTTCACACGTCGCACTCGGCTGCGAACGTTTCTAAGGAGAACTTTAGATCAGTTTTCAGAAGATGCTAATAAAACAAGGTCGTCTGCAAACAGCAACTTTCTCGACTTAACGTCTCCTATACCGATACATTCAACGCCTTGGTAGCTCCTGACTATTCTATCCATGTACAACACAAATAGGAAAGGGGACAGGACGCAGCCTTGGCGGAGGCAAGCACCAGCGTTGAAAGGCGTCGTCTTAACGTCGTTGACTTTGATTCGGCACTTGCTATCAGCATGTACTCTCTGAATGGCGAGTAAAAACTGTAAATCGATCTGATACATTTGAATGGCTTGTTAGGCTGGATCTTGTCATTGGTTTTCGTAGGTCACGAAATGCGCATATACACAGAATGACCGAATTTCCACGATTTCTCAACAATCTGGCATAGGCGAATATCTGGTTATATGTGCTTCGGCCGAGCCGGAAGTCACCCTCCTTTTGTACTTTGCAGTCAGTTATTCCGCGGCACATCCTTTCTAGCACCTTTGCCTAAATTTTTCCCGGGAGGCTCATTAAAATGACTGTAACACTCACTGTGGTCCCTCTCCTCGAACAGGGATGCTACAGCTCCCGTTCTGTTGTACGCCGATGTGTTCCCCGTAGTTATTGCAGTTCGAGAAACACGTGTAAGCCAGCACATACGTTGTTCGCGTATTTCTTTGAGCATTTTAGGGCGGGCTTCATCAATTCCAGCATCATTTACAATTTTCAAATTTTTACAGCTCGTGTAGTTTCATTTGCATAAATAGAAATGTCCGCTCCCTGTTGTTCTGTTGGAGAAGTTTACCAAAGTACTCTTTTCATATATTGGTTGTTCAGACCTGGCCTTCAAGACTCTTAGACGGCTCTTTTCACCTCAGAGCCGGCGGATGGTCTGCCAAATCTGGACTGGTTTTTTCGTCTGGAAATTCGACTCCCCACCGCACCAACTTCTCCCATGAACCAACTGTTGTTTTCGTCACTGTTTTCGCTGCCACTGTGCGCGCTTCTACATGCGGTATTCGAGTTTAAGGCTATTCTTTCTAGTCGTTTCTCTGGTAAGATAAATCGTTACGTGGCAAGCATAAGTTGGATTTTAGGTCGCATAAAGTATGCAAAATGTACAGTCCGACCATTTAGAGGAATTGCGTTTAATCAATCGATGTTATTGCGCAGCATAGGTTGAAGTCATGATTGTTATTATGTATGTTCCCGTATGTTCATTCTGTTGTGCTGTTGCACTCCCCTGATGGTTTCTAGAACCTTTTTCTCACGGGTTAGTTTCTTCACATAACTGTTCCGCTCGAAGTCCGTTGTATCACATGGTTATTCAGCACGCTGTATACCGCTACTGACGAGAACTTTTTATCTGCTCTGCTACTTTGCACCCAACGGCTTTTTGCATTCCGATGTCGACCGTCCCCGGTTCTCAGAATTTTATCATCCCAGATGTCCTCATGGGTTCTTTTCGTGCGACACAATTTCAATTTTTAATTGCTAATTTGGTATATTCCCTTTCTCGTATCTTTGAGAGCTCCTAGCTTTCGACAGTTGCGTATCATTGTTATCCTACATCTAGTCATGAATGAATTGATTCTGTCGTTGTCTTAGGTATGGAAAGATCCTAATGACCGGCTTCTGAATTCTTATCTGGAACTAGAGTTTGCTGATCGTTGTTTGTGTTTAACCTCCAGTCGATTCTGGTATGCCACTATTATCTCAAGATGGTGCCCTTTCTGATCGCGTACCAAATTTTAATTCTTTTAATCCTCTAAAATTTGGCATTCCTTTAAACGATGAAAGAAATCCTAATCTGAGGTTCATGCAGTTTTGTTTGTAAATGGAACCCTGGAAACTTTCTTCTGTAGCCATGCCTAGTAGTACGGATGATTTCACGAGTTTCAAGTCATGCAGCGTCAACATGTCAATTTAATAAAGATCGGTGGCTATCACAATTGCTTGTAAAGTTAAGAAGACACTGCAGTACCCGAAGAGGGTAGTAATATGATGCCAAAAGCCAAGGAGTTCATTATGCTTGATTTATTACCCCCGGTAAGCCGATTTTGCGTGCTGCTTTTAAGCTAACCGTTCTCCTACGTTTCTGTCATAAATGTGACGTGGAAATGTATCCCTTCCAAAAGAGATACTAATTCTTTGTAGCATTAGAGATTGTAATCGTTTGCAAAAGTTGACTTGATGAAGTGAGAAAAGCTGGTGGTGAAAGGTCATTTCAAGCATACGTTGTCCCATCGAAGCATGATCACATGAAGTAATTACCCGGTTTTTTTGGTCGACCTTGTTTATTGTCTGACTTTCGTTCCCTGTTCAATAATAAGCTCTTATGTTTTATATTATAGTTGATGTAAGCAAAGACCGTATCAAGTTCATTCGGGAACCGGAGGACGTCATCGTCGTCAATGGTTCGTCGGCCAGTTTGGCCTGTCTGGCCGTCAACGAACTTGGCCGGTTCCTGAAAGAGCAATGGTTACATAACGGCCGGCTTTTTTCACGTCAGGAACGCCAGCCCGGCCACTTGGTACTGAAATCTGTAAATGAGTTGCATGAAGGAAAGTACCAATGTCTTGTGCTGTCCGAGAACTACGGGGTTGTACTCAGCAGGCCGGCGAACGTAACCATAGCCAGTAAGCGGAATTATTTATTCTTATTATCGTTACTATTTAT